GACTAGTCCCTGGAACAGGACATCATGCTTGGTAAAATAGTGTCAGCAAAAAAGAGGAAGACCCTGAATGAGATGTATTGACACAGTGGCTCAACAGTGAGCTCAAACATAGCAACGATTGTGAGGATGGTGCAGGACCAGGCAGTGTTTTTCTATGAGTTGGAACCAACTCGATGGCAGCTAACAACAACAACAGAATGACTAAGTTAAAAAGACTGATAATATGAGATATGGTTGGAGATGTGGAACAACTCCAACTTACCCACGTTGCTGGTCGGAATGGTACCCCCCAAACGACATGGCCACTTTGGAAGACAGTATGACAGTATCTTAAATATACACTTATCATATGACCTAGCAATCCCATTCCTAGGTATTTACCTAAAAGAAATGAAAATATATATCCACAAAATGACTTGCATATGAATGTTCATAGTATTGTTATTTATAATAGCAAAAAGTGGAAACAAATGCCCATCAACCAGTGAACAGATAGATAAATGGATCATAGTGTAACTATATGATGGAATACTACTCAGCAATATAAAGAGACTTGCAACAACGTGGATGACTTTCAAAAATATTTGCTATATGAAAGCAATCAGACATAAAAGACTACATATGGTATGATTCCACTTGTGTGAATTTCTAGAAATGACAAAACTATAGTGACATAAAGCAGATCAGTTGTGTCTGTAGCTGAGGAGGGAAATCGATTGCCAAGGGGGCATTAGGAAACTTTTTAGGCCATGGAAACGTTCTATATATTGATTGTAATAGAGCTTATACAATTATATATAAATACCAAAGGTTGTCGAATTATATACTAAAATTAGAATACCTCAGGACAGCTATTTTTAAAAATTTTGTTATTATCATTCAGTTTCTAAGATGAGGTGACTAGTTTCTCTAAGCTATCAAAAGCTTAGCCATAGAAGTTTCTTACCTTATTATGTACTTAAATTTGCTTCTTGACTTTTTAAAATTGATTTTTAAGGTTTGTTTGTGGCACAGCTTTTTTATTTTTTGCTTTTTACACATTCCTAAAAAGTGAAATCGAGTGGCTGATTCTTGCTGAAGGGGATCGCGTAGGAGGACACATATTAAACTCTAAAACAAGCACTGCTGAATCTGTTTAGTAGGTCCTAAGTTTACCCTACTTGCAAAAATGATGCAGCTGAATTCTTTGATGTTAGCCTTTCCATTTATTTTAAAATTCTCATTACAAATGAAAATTTTCAGTCATTTGTTCCTAAAAATCTAAGGCCAGAACTTATCCTTTTTCTTTTGCATTTGTTTTAATGGTTAAAATATTGGACAGCTCTAAGGATACTCATCAGAATTTTCCTGCGAATTTTATGAAGTCTCTGCCATAGGGAAATGTCAGAAAAGAAATACTATTGATTCTCTCTAAATATGATGGAGCAGGAGATTCCAGATGAGTGGCAAATACTAGCTATAACTTGGTGAGTCTGTGGGGCCTTCGTATTTTCCCCTCCCCCGGTTTCATTATTGCTTTTTCATCTACCTAACTATCTATTGAGTTTCTAACACATGCCAAACACTGTCCCAAGTGCCAGGGAAACATTACTTATCCTCAGGGAGCTTAATGTCTAGTGAGAGTTAAAGAAGAGTAAGTAGGAAATTGCCATAAAGTGTGGTTAAGTGCTAAAGGATGCTCTGAAAGCTCAAAGGAGGGGCAACCAAACCAGACTTCAAGAGTGCGCTTGGACAAGGCTCCCTGAAGGGAGTGCCAGCGAAGATGTGACCTAAAAGATGAGCAGGAATTAAACAAGGAAAATTAATTGGAGAGTGGAGGGATGGAGTGTTGTTAGCATTCCAGAAAGAAGGAACAGCATGTGCAAAGGCTAGCGATCAAGAGAGTGTGGTGATTTCAAAGAGTACTTATATCCAAATTGAAAGCACTTCAAAGTGGCTGCAGAGGAGGAATTGCAAGAGACTGGAAAGTATTAGCCACCTCCTGCAGGGACACTTGAGTCATGTGATGGTGCTTGTTCTTTATCCTAGGGCAATGCAAATCTACCTATTGTAGGATAAAAAGAAAACCATGAAAGTAATTTTTAAAAACCCATTATAAGAAACCACTTTGAAATATATATATATATGTGTGTGTGTATATATGTGTATATATATATATATATACCAATTATGATAGCATCCTTTCTTCACTAGTGGTTACTAAGCATATGTGCCTCAAATATTCACTTAGGGATTTATTTTTCCTTACTGTGCTTTTTAGTTTTTATAACCATTTTTAATATTTAAAGCTCTCAGTTTTTAAAGCAGAGCTGGATACACTTTTCAAGAAGCCATATGAAAGTGTTTATAAAACTCATTATTTCTTTCAAGTTCCATCAAAATCATATTAAATAATCACAAAAATATAATTTGTTTCTTAGTACACTTTTTTTTAGCTAGAAAATTTCTTGAGCAAAATGGCGAGTTGTTAATACATGGCACATTAATAATGTTCCTCAAACTATGTAACACAGAGGCAAGTAAGAAGGAGGACTTTTCTGGCCTTCTTGCTTACACCTGGCTCATCTTGGTTTGCCAGCCAAAGACTAAGAGAGATAGGTATTTATTTGTTTGTTTGTTTTAATTTCAATTTTTCATTAATACGTATATAGTAAGATAATGCAAAATGAATTTATACTTGCTTTTGGAGGTAAAACTATGTTTTATGAACCTAGATGTTAATTAATGTTCGTATGTATCAAACCCACAGATTTTCTATGTTTTATAACTTCTTACTTAAATTAAAAATTATTTTTGTCTGCTTCTGGCAACTGTTCTGACTTGTTAGATATATTTCTTTTCTATGATGCCATCAAATTGAAGTTGTTTGTTTTTTTAAGTGGGGAAAAAAAAGTGGCAGAAAATTGGAAAATCAACCAGTATTTGAAAGATTGTATATTTTAAGTCTATAGGTCCTGGGAAGCCTTTATTCCATCAGTCCTTTCCCGCTTCCCTTCAGTTTCAGTGAACGTTAACGTGTCCCCTGTACTGCTGATCTCATACCTTTCCTTTCCTCAGGGATCTTGCTTCATCAGTTATCTCCTCTTGCTCCTGTTTCTTTCTTTCCTTCATTTACTTCTCCCTGTCATTATTTGTTGTTGTTATTAGGTGCCATTGAGTTGGTACCAACTCATAGTGACCCTATGTGCAACCGAACGAAACACTGCCCGGTCCTGCGCCATATAGTCATTGCTATATTTCAGCCAATTGTTGCAGCCACTGTGTCAGTCTATCTCACTGAGGGTCGTCCTCTTTTTTGCTAACCCTCTACCAAACATAATGTCCTTCTCTAGGGACTGGTCCCTCCTGATAACATGTCCAAAGTATGTGAGACACAGTCTCACCATCCTCACTTCTAAAGAACGTTCTGGCTATACTTCTTCCAAGACAGATTTGTTTGTTCTTCTGGCAGTCCATGGTATATTCAGTATTCTTTGCCAATACCATAATTCAAATGTATCAATTCTTCTTCAGTCTTCCTTATTCATTGTCCAGCTTTCACATGCATATGAGGCGATTGAAAATACCATGGCTTGGGTCAGGTGCACCTTAGTCCTCAAAGTGACATCTTTGCTTTTCATCACTTTAAAGAGGTCTTTTGCAGCAGATTTGCCCAGTGCAATGCGTTGTTTGATTTTTTGACTGCTGCTTCCATGGGCGTTGCTTGTGGATCCAAGTAAAATCCTTGACAGCTTCAGTCTTTTCTCCGTTTATCATGATGTTGCTTATTAGTCCAGTTGTGAGGATTTTTGTTTTCTTTATGTTGGGGTATGATCCCTACTGAAGGCTGTAATGTTTGATCTTCATCAGTAAGTGTTTCAAGGCCTCTTCACTTTCAGCAAGCAAGGTTGTATCATCTGCATACTGAGGTTGTTAAGGAGTCTTCCTCCAATGCTGATGCCGCGTTCTTCTTCATACAGTCCAGCTTCTCGGATTATTTGCTGTGCATACAGATTGGATAAGTATGGTGAAAGGAATGAATAAGGAAGACCAAAGAAGAATTGATGTCTTTGAATTATGATGTTGGTGAAGAATATTGACTGTATCATGGACTACCAGAAGAGCAAACAAATCTTTCTTGGAAGAAGTACAGCCAGAATACTCCTTAGAAGCTAGGATGGTGAGATTTTGTCTCACGTCCTTTGGACATGTTATTAGGAGGGGCCAGTCCCTGGAGAAAGACATCATGCTTGGTAAAGTAGAGGGTCACTGAAAGAGAGGAAGACCCTCAACGAGATGGATTGACAGTGGCTGCAACAGTCAGCTCAAATATAGCAATGATTGTGAGGATGGCTGAGGACAGGGCAGTGTTTCGTTCTGTTGTACATAGGGTCGCTATGAGTTGGAACCAACTCAGTGGCATGTAACAACAACAGCAACAATATTTTAAGTCCTCCCTCTTATAAGGTAGGGGAGCAACATAAAATGGTATTGCTAAATTTAGGAAAACCTTAGTTATTTTAATAGTGCTGTTCTTAATACCATCTAGTCAATTTTTAACTCACAGTGACCCTATGTAACAGAGTAGAACTACACCATAGGGTTTTCTAGGCTGTAAACTTTATGGGAGAAGATCCCCAAGTCTATTCCATGGAGCTGCTGGTTGGATTCAAACCACCAAGCTTTTGTTTAGCAGTCTAGCACTTAACCCTCTGTGCCACAAGGGCCCCTTACTGAGGTAAATGATTTTATAGTCAAATAAGTACAGGTGAGAAGCACAATTACAATAGTATAGTATAGAATAAAAATGTTTATAAAATTGATTGATAAATTAACATTGATCACTTCCTAATCTAGGAAACATTTGTGGAGGTGGTGGACTTTGTGGATTTCGTTTTTAAAGTAAATGAAGGAAAACCGAGACCAGATTTAACTTCCTCTTTCTGACATGAGTATTTACATAAATATGAATTCACAGAGCCTTTTTACTACACATTCTAAAAATATTTTATGTTTTTCAGAGGAAGAAGCTGCTCCAGATGGTGCTGTTGCAGAATACAGAAGAGAAAAACAGAAATATGAAGCTTTGAGGAAACAGCAGGCAAAAAAGGGAACTTCCCGGGAAGAACAGGTAACTTTTCAACAACCAAAATCTATACACAATTCATAGCCTTTGTATTATATTAAATCTTGCTAAGTGGAGCCTAATTTGATTATACATCAGGGCAAGCACTACTTCTTAAAAATGAAAAAAATACTATTTATATAGAGTGGGTTGACAAGGATCTTGACCACACGTACAAAGGTCCATATTTTAGTCTTTCCAGACATTTTAGGCAAACAGCAAGCCTAAAACTTTCAAGTTACAACCTTCTACTCCCATATCAAGCACAAGAACTTTATAAAGCCACATATCAAATTCTCAGGTAGAAACTTCTGTCTAAGTAAATACTATGAAATGGAGAAGTGGTGATTATAAATGAAGAGAGGGTCTCCTTCCAGCGCAGCCTCTCATATGCTGACTAGCTAGCTCAGCATGAAATCGTACACTGCCTGGAAATAAGGCATTTAGTCCACTAGTTCACTTCCATTGTAGTAATATAACAAAATACTGCTTATTGCAAGTAATTCTTGAATCTTTAAGTAGTAATAAAAAAAAAAAATTATCAGAAATCAAGTATGTAAATAGATTGAAACAATTTGAGAGTCATCCATACACCCCATGCAGCACTTGGAATTTGATAAGACAAATCTCTTCAGCAGCCTTTCATGTTAAAAACCTAGGGTACAGACCAAAATGATTTCTTTTTGGTGCTGTCATATATATGAGGACATGCCATTGTAGACATATAAATAAAGCAGACAAAATGAAAGTAAATTAAAAAGCCCAAGCTTATTTGAATAAAGTAATCAGGAACTATATTATAAATGACACCTAATTACTGATAAGGAAGGATCATGCATCAGTACTTAGCATGAAAGTAATCATAGGGAAAGTTCAACAAGCAGTCAGGTATAGGAAGTTGTAATTACAGAGAACTAATTTACTTATGTGCAATTTTCAAAAGAAATGGCACATCAAATGAAATTACAAAAAAGCGCATTATTAACTTGTTTTCGAGTCACAGAGTCCCCCAAATAGCAACTCTGGTGAATACACTACTGAAGATGCTAAGAATCGCTCTTATTCTTGCGTGCCTTTTTCTCCCCACTCTAACAAATAATTATTAAGAACCTGTTGTGTACTAATCGCTCAGTTTGGTAGTAAACAAGGTGGACACATTTCGGCCCTCTCAGAGCTTATAGTCTATCAAGGAAAAGAACCAGTTAAACAAGTAATAATACCAATAAAAGGGGACAGCATAATGACAGAGTTTTAATTGTTATTAGTTGCCATACCATCAGTCCCACTCATGGCAACTTTATGTATAACAGAATGAAACAATGCCCAGTTCTGCACCATCCTCACCATTGTTGGTATGTTTGAGCCCACTGTTGCAGCTATTGTGTCAATCCATCTTATGGAGGGTTTCCCTCATTTTCACTGACCATCTGCTTTACCAAGCATGATGTCCTTTTCTAGTGATTGGTCATTCAGAGTAGGTATAGGGAACTATTTAAATGTATAGCAGTAGGACCTAACATGGCCTAGGAATCTGGGAAGGCCTTCTTGAGAAAAACATTTGTCACCTGAACTTTGGAGGTTCACTAAGGGATAGCCAGGTGAAAAGGAGGCAGGACATGGCTAGACAAAAGGAACAGTGTATGTGAAGTTTTTGACCTCTTTGGAAAGAGCTAAAAAAATGTTAAGTATGACCAGAACATAGTAAGAGGAGAGAGATGAGGCTGGAGAGGTGAGCAGGAGCCAGCTCATATAGTGTATTTTTGAACCATGTTAAGGAGTTAGATTTACCCTAAGGGTGATGGGGAGCCAGTAATGGAAGGAAGAGATATGATCTCCTTTGTGTCTTGGGGAGATTCCTCTGGCTGTGGTGTGGAGAGTGGACTGGACGCAGGGCAAGACAGGAGGCACAGAGGCCAGTTAGGAGACTCCTGTATATACGAATGCATGCACAGAGTCTGCCAAAGCCGGGCTTCTTCAGAACTGCTTCTCTGTGCCTGGAAGACTTTCACTTGAAGAATCATGCTGTAAGTGGTTGGCCATTCATTCCTTCAGCAAAAGCCTGAAGACTGAATAATTCCCCTGCCGATGCCAAACAGATATGCCTCCAGGCAGAACCTATCTTCTTCAACCTATAATGTGCCCATTATTTTTGTAACGTTTGCTTCTCTACTCAGTGCCCTCTTTTGCCTTTAGAATGCAGGTAGAGCAAGTTCAACCTTGAATATAAGCGAAGCTAAGAAAGGGGATGTTTATTACTTGTTATTGTCCCACCTCTTTGAGCAAATGCCAGTAGTACATTAATTGACTCTAAGAACAGACTGCCTTGCCACTTTCAACTTAAGGAGAAAGACCCAAGTCTAATATAATTTTCTAGGAAGCTTTTAAACATTACATTGAGAAGTCATCTCCTTTGTTTCAGTTTTCTTTTTGCCCTCAGAAAAGACATTTTCAAGTGTGCAAAAGTCCACCATTAAAAATTGATGTGGTTACTGATACATGCTACAGCGTGGCTGAACCTTGACAACATTATGCTAGGTGAAAGAAGTCAGACACAAAAAGTCACATATTGTATGATTTCATTTATGTGAAATATCCAGAAAAGGTAAATCCATAAAGACAGAAAGCAAACTGGTGATTGCCAAGGGCTGAGGTATGGAGAAATGAGGAGTGACTGCTTAATGCGTATGGGGTTTCATTTTGGAGTAATGAAAATGTTTGGAACTAGATAGAGGTGGTGGTTGCACAACATGTGAATGTACTAAATATCACTGAATTGTACACTTTAAAATAGTTGATTTTATGTTATGTAAATTTTACCTCCTTAAAAAAATTGATGATGTTTACTTTTAAAATTAGATAGATAGATTAGATTAAATAGATTAGGTGGGTAGATAGATAGATATGGAGACAAATATTTATGTAATTAAAAAAAAAAAATCCGTTGCCATCATGCCGATTCTGACTCATAGCAACCCTATAGGACAGAGTAGAACTGCCCCATTGGGTTTCCAAGGAGCAGCTGGTGGATTCGAACTGCCAACTTTTTGGTTAGCAGCTGAGCTCTTAACCACTGAGCCACCAGGGCTCCTTATATTATATATATATGTATATATAAATAACCACACACACACTAAAAGCCTTGAAAGATACACAGGCAGTCCCGGTATCTCTGACTTAGGTACAACCTATAGTTATCAACCAACCCCCGTAAAGCCTATTATATTAAAAATTCGAAGACCATTCAATAGTTCATAATAACAAATGAGTACTACTTTGTGACGTGCATCAAAACCCATTTATTATTATTATTGCTATATTATTATGTTAAAGATGTTTTCGTTTATCTGTGTTTCTTTAATTTTTTTTTTATGCATAGAAAGATACACTATATACCATATACTAAGACAAACATTTGACTAACTGACGTTAGATACGAACCATACCTGGCTATTCCGACTTACATACAAGCTTGACTTAAAGAAAGAATTAAGAACGGAACTTGTTCAGAATCTGAGGACTGCCTGTATACCAAAATGCTAACAATGCTAGATTATTCTAAGTGGTGGGATAATAGTTATTTTTGCTTTGCTTCTCTATATTTTCCAATTTTTCCATAGCGATTTCTTTTTCATATTATAAAACAAGTATAATAAAAGTTGAATAAATGATCAGGGTTGGCAACCAATGTCATAAAACAATTTGTGTATTAACTGTTTAGTAAGAAACTAATTTGCTCTGTAAACTTCCACCTAAATCACAATTTTTTTAAAAAATTATAGCGTGGTTAAGAAAAAAGTTTGTAAATAAAGGTTTTTTTTTTTTTCAGTGAATAAAGTTTAAAATCAAAGGATGTGCTCTTTATCTGTTAACATTGTTTGAAGAACTTAGTCCTATAATTACTACTCTAGAAGTACGTAAAAATACCTAAACCATAACACTCGGCAGCCCTCAGAACGTCTATAAGGATATTCTACAGGAATTTATAGTATTTCCTCCAAAACTCATCTCATTCAGCAACTGTAGTAATGTGTATATTTTAGCACACACAGAATATTTAATACATGCGGAAATGTATTTGGCACTTTGTACCATTATGTTTTAGCAATAACTGCTCCTATTTTTTCAATTATTTTGGTAACACCTGTGTTTATTGAGCTTAGGTTCTAAACCACCAAAACCTACTTAATTTTTTTTGTGAGCTATGATCTTAATGATATTCTCTAGGTAAATTCTAGAGCCTAGCAATTTATAGTGACTCCTTATTGTATCTGTTATTCACATGTCGAACTATCACACATTTTTTTCTTATGAAATTTATTTTAAATTGAATGTATCAGAATTTTAATTAGGCACTTGATTTTTAAACAGGTAACACTTTATTCCATTTCATAATAATGTACTCTTTAAAACTGTGGAACAAGAAAACTTTCCCTGACATTCTGTTCTCTGGTCAAATTCTGTAGCAAATTGTTAAGGTATAACCAGAGACAGTGTGATTACAGACTTAGAGGTACTTGTTGCTTCTTCCCCACAAAGAACATAGGAGCCAAACAAGAATTCACAGGAATGTTTTCATTTTTCTTTTTTCAGACATACTCAACATGATATTTACATGTGGCTTCTTTCCCTCAGCAATATGTATATAATTTTTAGTAGCAGTTTAATAGCCTCCTTATTGCTTTTTCCCAAATCTATCTATATCCTAATTGATAGACATTTAACATTTCCAGTTTTCGCCTTGTATAAATAATGCTGCAGTGAACTTCTTGTGCATAAGCCGTTTTCTGTGTTTCAGATTTTCTTATAATGTATTTCAGGGTTGGAATTATTGAATTAAAGGGAATAATCATCTTAAAGTTTCTGATACATATTGCTAAAAAGTTTACTAAAGATACCAGTCCAGTTTACCCATCTTTCAACAGTTAATGTGTTCATTCATACCACCTTCCCCAACATTGATTTTTTTTAATACATTTTGGGTAATTAATTAAATGAAAATAGTATTCGTTACTTTTTTTTTATTTTTTATTTCATATATCTTAGTGAATTACCTCCCTGCCTTGTGGACATTACAAATTTAACTATTAATAAGCATGCATTTTAAAGTTTAAGCATCTTCTATATAAGCAAATGTATGTTCCCCAATTCAGAAAATAGTCACCTATCTCTGAGGAAAAATTCAGTGCAATCCAAACAGGACAATGTCAAGATGTGAATGTCACTATCGTAGCTTGAAGGCATTTTTGTTATTTTCCTCTGAAATGAGACATTTATCTAAGTGGTTTACATCCTGGTAGAATATTTTCTTTTCTAGCCAATTTAAGTATTTCTTTGAAAACTATGTTTATCATAAAACTTAGCAGTCTAATTTTTATTTCAGACCCTTGCGCTGCTGAATCAGTTTAAATCTAAACTCACTCAAGCGATCGCTGAAACTCCTGAAAATGACATTTCTGAAACAGAAGTAGAAGATGATGAAGGATGGTAAGGGCTTTGATTTCTTTATATTAACCATAAGTAAATAGGCTCAGAGCAGAGACACTGCTGGGACATTTCAACCACATCATCCCATTTTCAGACTTTTCCTCCACTCTTATCCTCATCATTGTATTTCCTTTTGAAGGAAGCTTTCTTTTGAATCACGCTTTTACTTCATTTCACTTGATAAGTATTTATTGAGTGCTTGATGTATTCGCAGTATTGTGCTAGCCAGTAGAGAATATACAAGAAACATATGACACTATCTATGCCCAAATAACCTTCTAATATTGTGGAGAAGATAAGACTCAGTCACGTTAAACAGTTAGAAAACAACCTTAAGAGACTATACATCATTAATTTTTTTTATACTTTTACACTAACATTTTAGAACTCAGTAATCCGTTTCATAATCCTACTAAGTTCCTCTTCAAGTTTCTGATCTACAGGTTCCTAGCAATGCATACTTAGTTCATTTCACTTTTGTCTTTGGATATTTTTCAACTTTTTAAGACACTGATAAGAAATAAAAAATTAATGACATCTACATATCTTGTGCTTAGAACTGTATCCTATACTGGCAACAAAAAAAAAATGTGAATTGTGACTTCCCTTATCACACTTCTCTGTCCTCAAGTTGATTTTGCATGCAGTATATTAGGCCACCCCACACCTAGCTTCCCCCACCTCCCACTCTACCCTGGCTCAGGCACTTTGTTGCAAGCAAACCAGTATATCACCCCCTACACATGACTCACCCTCTGGCTCCTCTGAACCATCACATGTGCCATTACCCTAACCCAGAATCATAGCCTCACTCCTCTTGCCAAACAGCATCTCGCCCCTATTTCAAAACTCTGTTCAACACTCCCATTCTCCAGGAAACCAGTCAGCAAGATTTGTTGAGCACTCACGAATCTAGAGGATGGAGGAAGGAGGGTTGGAACACACATTTAAAAAGACATAAAAACACTTATTAAGAAAACATTTAAACAAGTAAGACTCTGCAACTGTTTATAACTTTAATCAAAAGGGTTGAGGGGAGGATGATTTCAATGGAATGAACCCTACCTAATCTGGGACCTTGTATATTTCTCAGTTTATAGTTTCTGAACAATCTGGATTACATATGCCAATTTTTCTGAAAATTCTAGATTTCTTTTAATAGGTTTCTATTATTTATGTATATTTGTTTATACTTAAATTCAAAGTTGCTTAAAGGCAGAAGCTGGTTTCTCCCATAGTTCTGTGCCAAAGGCAAAGGCTCAGTAAGTGTTGACTGACCCATAGAGATAAATGTAGATAAGTACACACTGCACAGAAGAACTTTCTGTTTTTTATATGACTGGACAGGTTTAGTTTTATTTTGGATTCCTTGAATGTTTCAAAATATCTTTCAAATGTTTTGAGTTCAGCCACCACCAAAAAAAAAAAAATTGTTTTGCCAAGTCCTCTTCCCCTTATTTTTGAATCCATATGCATTTTTTTAAGGAAATATGATCCCTGTGTTTCTGATTCATTTACACTTAACTCATCAAGATGGTGTTTTGTAAGAGCAGTTTGATGCCCAATAATGTTTTTAACCTTTTTGTAAGCTATTTAAGTCCTTTTTTATTGAACAGGAAAGTCACCAACAAATTCAAACCCCAGAAGTTTCATTTGAAACTCATAACCCACAGGATTCAAATTTACTTTCAACTTGGCAAGACCATTTAACTTCTCAAGGTTCTTCCTAGCCCCTTTGTCAGTAATCTCTCATTCTGGATTCCTCATTAGCTTCAGATATCAATTATGTGTTTCTGAAAGTGTCATTTTTGTTTTTGATGTGATTTCACAATACGATCAATGTTTTTTCTAACATCCTTATCAGAGAGTTGAAAAACAAATAGGAAAAATTCACCAAGCCAGGGGGTAAAAATCACTGGTCAATGATGATGGCTAGTTCTCTCTGGGGAACAAAAGAAAGCGGTAAAGGAAGGGAAAATAAGTTAAAGAAACTATTAGCAAGTCTTTAGTGGGTTCATTTTTGCCTTCTATTGCATTTTCTTAAACAGAGTCAGACACCATGCACTTCTGAAAATTTTTTTGGTATTTGTTTTATCTAACACCTAATAAAAATACCTTTAGTGTTCAAGGCACTATGCAGAATCATATAGAACGCATGAGGTCCCTATATATAATGCCTTTTTATTGCAATATAGATCATTCAGTTTTTGTAACCTAATAAGCAACAGTGTCATTTCTCATGAATAAACCAATTCAACTTTATCAAGTCTCTAGTGATTTAGATCCTCTCTTATAAAGTGTATTTCACCCAGAAAAAGGAGTCTTGTATTCAGAATGATTTATAGCAAATATTATGAATGCATGGCATGTGCATGTGTGTTATGCATAAATTACATGGTTCCCAGACTATTTTGTAGGTCACGGTTGCTGCATTTCTAAGATGTGAAAGTCAGCCAGTGTGCTGTACTACACTGTCAAGGTCTGTTATCTGAGGTAAAATGATTGCTTCTAAGACGTTTTTATGTGTCCACATGAGTGGCCACACATTGAGGGATCATTTTCATTTTCTGTCAAGATAGAAACCATTACCAATCTGTTATGTTGTCTTTTACTTGGCAAACTGTTTTATTCGCATTTTTGGCTGAGCTGCTGTATTGGCATGGTATACAACAGACATTTGGGTACCATTCAGCAGCATTCTACTTTTTATGCAAAAAAAAAAGAAAGTGGGAGGGGGATAAAAAGAAAAGAAATATGATTCTATTGTAAACAGTGTATACAGTGCTTGATAATTATTCCCAGATTTCACTGTCTAACAGGCATTTAAAGAAGTGTTATTAGTAGATCTAAGCTGAAATGCATGATAGAAATTTTTCACTCAGAATTACTAAGATTCTTTCTTTGTTGGAATATATACATCCAATATTTGGTGGCAGTGATGGGCACCAGATTCCAGGTTAGCAGCTAGAGTAGCCTCTTTGCCACTACATTCCTTAGTCCCACAGCATCACAGACTCATGTAACTACATGAGTCTTCTTCAAGCATGGATTTTATAAAACCAATTAGACACATGGCAGTAGGCATCAGCCAAAGGATTCATATGACCATGTGGATGAAGTCCATATGCCAGTTTGGGTTTGGTTAGATAAAGCTTGGTTAGCTCCCAAAAAAGTTTTGAGAGCTCTGTCTGACAAGGCAATGGAGGGACTTATAAAAAAGAAAGCCACCTGCTCCTTACACAACAAAATGGGTATTTCCAAAGAGGAAAAAATTAAATTTATGGGAATAGACTGCAATCTTATGAACATTAACCATTCACTACTAAGTTCCTTTGAAAATTTATTTTCAGATTGCTAAATATATGATTAACTTCATAACAAATATGCATGATAAAATAATAAACAGTGTAATAGTCTATCTGCTTTACCCCTCCTTCTCTTCCTCTCTCCCTTCAATCAGTTTTCTCCATAGTACGTACAATATTCAGTGTTATAAGAATTAGAAAAATGCTAATAACTGAGTGATTGCACAAAGTAAATACTTTAATAATTATTTTTATAAGTCAAAGTGTTCATTGTAGAAAAATCAGAGTATCAATCCCCCAAAAGAAGTAAATAAAAATTACCTGTGATCACAAACACCAATATAATACTATTAATTTATACATGTATATACCCTTCCAGATATTTCTATGCACATATATTTTTTAAACAAAAATAGGATCATACAGTATTGGCTTTATAACTTGTTTTTTGTTCCCTCAGCAATGTATAGTCAACCATTGACCTTTCCTTGTCATCCATAATTTTATGATAATAGTTTTTATATGTTGTATTATAGCAATGTAGTATTCTATCATATGATGAACCATAATTTACTTAATCAACTCTATTTTGCTGAATATTTAGGCTCTTTCCATTTTTTTATTATTATTATAAACAAAGCTGTAGTGAACATCTTTATATCTATGTCATTGCCTATTTTCTCAGGATAAATTTCTAAAACTGGAATTTCTTAGTGAGTATGCATGTTAGGCTTCTGCTAAATATTTTCAAGTGCCCTCTCAAAATGTCATTGCAGTTTATACCCCTAAGTAAATATCGTTTTTAAGACTTGCCTTTAGGGCTGTTAGAATCCCAAGAATTAATTAAGGTATTTACAGTGCTTAGTGAAGGAGAGTAGCCTTTTAAAAGAAATGTTTGGCTTTTGTAAATTTTTTAAAAATATAAATACTGTCTGATTTGCTTCTGTTTTTAATAAAACTAGTATGAATTTCAACATAACTCTTCTTTTCAAGGGCTTATTCTCTGAACTAGTCTTGTTCTTGGTTCTGAAAAACTCTCCTTTTAAGACAAACCTATGGGTTAGAACTTCTGGATCCAGAATTTTGTTTTATTACTGTACTTTAGCTTATATCAGAAATTAATTTTATTCATCAGTCAGACAGATTGTTTCAGCTAAAGACTGGAGCTCTGAGAACCAAGATTTGGCACAAAGATATTTTAAAGCCCTCCTCTGGAGTGAACATAGCACAGATGCAACAAGTAGCATTTGTCTATTTATCCCAGTGAAATTTCAATAAGGCAGATGTAAAAAGATTATTGACTGCTAGACCCAGTCAGACCTCATTATAAGATACCATTAAAGGATATACCTTCATCTCATTGCAAAGCTTTAAGTACCTTTTATATGTAATACATACTGTAATTTGTGTATGGTTGAGTCATGTATTGAGCAAAGAGTGCAATGACAATAAATGGATTTTTAATTATAGTCCCCACTTTACTCCAGCAGAACATTGCCAGATATGGTTAACAGATTGGTGTAGACAAACACAAATACAGCCAGCTATAAGGAAGGAGGTCATGAGACCAGTCAAAGCCAGGTTAGCCATGTGAGAGATCTTTTTCACCTTTACTGTCACCCAGGGTAGCGGGTTCCAAACTTTTGGTCTCTGGACCCCTCTAAATCTTAAAAATTATTGAAGTCCCCAAAGAGC